TCCCATATGTCTGCTCTTGGAAGTATTCTTAGAAGTAAATCTAGATACAGAAGATGAGGACATACTTCAATTGGTAACTTTGTAGAACCACTGTCCTGAAGTGTGAAAGTGAAAGAAACGATTGAATAATAACAGGCTATACAGCCCCAATTTCACTCTTATCGACTTCTATATCTTTCTAGACTCATGTATCTTTCAAGAAGAGACTATTGCTCACATTAACGGTTATATATATATATATATATATATATATATATAATGGAGTATTTTGGGTTTAATTTATGTATCAATCAACATTAAAATCATCACTTCCTGAACTAAATCTGGGTCATAATACATTTAACTTTTAATTGATAACTAAATTAGTTTTTAGGTAAAATCAATCTAAACTTAGTACCACTAAAAACCTAAAAAATAATTATGATTATTTATCCATAAATAGTGAAAATTAAATTTTGGTCTTAGCCAAACCAAAACATCTACCTTATTGTTAAATCACATCTTTTGATAGTTTTTTTCTTTTTTTGTCCGACATAAGATTCAAAATTAATTGATGTTTTTAGTGTTAGAGAATAATTTAAAATCATTTCTAATTTTTTTTTTTGTATAATAGTTTAAATTTTTGAGTTAAAATAGTCATTTGATATAATATCGAGTCTTGATGACCAAAAGAATTACGAATTCAAATTTCACTAATCCACATTCTCTCTTATTAAAAATTCTAGAGTATGTCAATGTTAGATCACGCTTAACCTATTGAATATTTAAGGTGAAAATAATGTAAAATCTAATCCTAATAATTTTTGTAGCCCTGGGCATGTTAATTAATAGCAGAGACTCTATCTACGTAGACTTATGTGAACACCAACTTAATTGGAAACAACCAAATATCTCCATTATACATCAATTAGTTTATTGCTTGTGCTATTATTATTACTAAGAAACTAAAAGACGTGGAGTTTGATCAGTGATTTTCATTGTTCATTCTCTCATAAATCACTATTCACTTACTGTAGCTATGCATTTTTTCAAATTGTTTCATTTTGGTCCTTGAAATGTTGAAATAAAAAATTTAATCCCCTAGTTGATGCACTATACATGCTCTTTTTTTCCTTTGGTTTTTTTATTTTGCCTTTTTCTATCAATTTATGTTCTTTTTTTTATTTAATTGGGTGTTAAAATTTTGAAAAATCAACAATTATTTTTTTACACAAACCGACGATTATATAATATATATGATATACTTTTAGATTTTAGAATAAATATATACTACTCTTATTGTTTAAAATTGATTTTTTTTTATTTATTATAAAAATTCTCATCAAGTTAATTTTTATTCTTATTTTTAATATAATTCTATTTGTTAATAAATATGATTTTTTTTCTCTATGTATGGATTCAAATAAGTTTTTTTATACCTGTTTTCATTTGCTTAATTCTTATATAATTAAATTTTAAAAATAGAATATATGTATTTTATTTTCTTATTTTTTATATAATCAAATTTTATCAAAATCAATTTTATAATTTTCATTGCACTCTATTAACTTCAATATATGTTTTACAAGTTATTTTTTTTAAAAAAATATTTTTCAATTTATTATATACATTCTCACCCATTGAGTATGGTCATGATATTAATAATAATAATAATAATAATAGAATAATTGATTTTATTAGAAATCAACTATGCATCCACACACACACAATACCAACTATTTGCTATTATTTTTTTAATATTTAAAATTAAATTTTCAAATAAAGTAATTGAAATAGTATTTTAGAATAACCGTCTAGTAATTCAAATACAATTTTGTATACTAATATTATTCATTATTTTGTAAATAAATATATACAAATCAAATGTATATATTTTAAAAAAAATAATCTTCTCATTTGTTAAAAAGATTCATTTGTTAATTTTCATACGAGCTTTTAAATTAATTGTTGTTTCATTTTTTTGATGCAATGTTATGAAAAAAAAATTAAGATTTTTTTATTAAAATTTGTTTATTATGGCTTTTTATTTAAGAATAAATGCATAAGAAAGAACAAATCATATTTTTTGACTTAAATTTTTTTTCAAAAACACACACACACACACACACACACACACACACACACACACACACACATACATACATACATACATACATACATATATATATATATACTACTCTTATTACTTAAATTTCATTCTTTGAATTTATCATTTTTAATGAAAATTCTCTTTCAATTAATATTTTTAATAATATAAAATTTTATTTACCGATAAATATAATTTATTTTTCTTTATGTTTGAATTTTAGAATAAAATTTTAAAACATGATTTGTTTTTCTTTTTTTAAAAAAATAAATTGGTATAATATATATTATGAATTCTTAGAATTTTTAAATGATATATATATATTAAAAGTATATTTCAAATAATCTGTCTTAGTTCATTAAGCATGGTCAAGACGTATAAAAAAACTATTGAATCATTTTTTTTTATTAAAAATTAACTATACATCTTCCAACATAATATAAATTATTTACTATGAATATTTTTTTAACATCATAACCAATTTATTTGAAATAAAATAATTAAAATAATTTTTTAAAGGAACCAACCGGTTATTCAAATTAGTTTTTTTTATGCTAATTTTATGGATTGTTTTTTAAACAAATATCTATAGATCAAATGCATATACTTGAAAAAAAAATATTCTCATCAGTATTAAATAAGAATAAAATTTTATTTTTTCATTGGTTAATTTTTATGCAAGTCTATGCATTAATTGTAATTTTATTTTTTAGATGCATTCTTATAAAAAAAAATAGAATTTTAAATTATTTTTTATTGAATTCTTAATTAATATTTCAAGTTTAAATTATTACAAGTTTTTATTTAACAATTTCTTAATAAAGAAGAATAAAGCATGTTTTTATTTAAAGTATTTGTTATAGAATTCTTAATTAATATTTCAAGTTTAAATTATTACAAGTTTTTATTTAAGAATCTTTGAATAAAATTTTATTTTTTCATTGGTTAATTTTTATGCAAGTCTATATATTAATTGTAACTTTATTTTTTGGATATATTCTTATACAAAATATAATTTTAAAGTATTTTTTATTGAATTCTTAATTAATATTTTAATTTTTAATTATTACAAATTTTTATTTAATCATCTCTAAAAAAAGAATAAAGCATATTTTTTTAAATAGAAATTTTATGAAAACACACAAAAAATATTAATAAATAAATAAAAATTAATGAAAAAATTATACAATTTTGAAATGATTTTGTTCTATCTATCCGTAGTGTTGCGCGGATAATTTCAAAAATTAATCTTCTCATCAGCATTAAATTAGAATTTTTTTTCATTTGTTGATTTTTATAAAAATCTATCAATTAATTATAACTTTATTTTTTGGAATGCAATATTATGAAAAATATATTTTAAATTTTTTTAATTCTTGATTAATATTTTAGTTAAAATTGATATAATTTTTTATTTTAAAATCAATCCATAAAGAAGAATGATTTATGTTTTTTTAAGCAGAAAGTTTATGAAAAATATTAGAAAAAATTAATTAAATTAAAATTTTAAATTAAAAAATTTTAAAATAATTTTATTCTATTAGATCATAGGATAGCGTGGGCAACCGACTAGCTAGTATGGTCTAAATTCATCAGTCCAAATTGCAATTTGCATGCATAGCCAATTTGCAAGATTGATCACGACTAAGCTGGCTGCCAAGAGAGAGTCCCAACTTGCGTTGTGTGGCCACTTGATTCTAGTTCAAGTAGTAGGCATGGATAAAGCAAGGCCAGGGTCACATTAATTTGATATATGTATACTGTCGGCCAAGAGATCGAGAGGACCAGTTTGCTGGCCTCTGGGTTAGAAGTTAACGTCCAGTGTATAAGGTTAACATTTTCCTACTTGAGTTGCCAATTAATTGTACAGAACTTATAATGGGCCCTCAAAAATAAAAATAAAAATAAAATAAATCGTGGGGCATATGATTGAATTATTGTACTGGGAATTCTAGACGAGATATTTTTTAAAAACGTCATGCACTGTTATTAATTAGATGCTAATCCAAGCAAAACGACCTTCTTTCTGCATTACAAGCTACCAAATTGGTCAAAAGGATGATTCATTTAGTTTGTCGACGACAATAAGATTGCATTTTTGTAAAAGCACGGTTGGAATGATAAGGAAGAATAAAATTTAACGCTTTTTCTTTAAATTTTTCTTTTTTTTCATGATTTTAACAGTTATATTAGAGATTTTTGGAAGCTTCAGACCATATAGCATAATTTTGAGAAAAAGTAACTGCAAACTGAAAGAGAAAGCTTAACAAGAACAAAAAAAAAAAGAAAAAAAGAAAAAAGGACAAATGTGTTTAGGAGTAAACTCTTGCCAACCTTACAAGTTTATTGATTAACTATGGTATATGTTCTAAATTCATTCGTACCATGTTTGTTGAGAATATAGTTATATTTTGTAGGATAATAAGAGCAGGATCGCAAATCCCTGTCTCCAGTAGGCCTAGGGAGCTAATTTATGTCCCTGTGAATCTATTAGCATCCATATATCTCCCTTGGAATCTCAATGAAGACCCTACAAGCATGCTTCGTAATGTAAAGCATTTTGATTTTGCTTCCAAATACAGTGTGTTTTGCATGCCCTTTCTTTCATTTTCCCACTCGAGCTGCCACTTGAAAATACCTAATCATGGGTCCTCGGAAAAAACGAAAAAGAAAAGAAATAGAAATAATGGGGTGGGCAAGTTTTGGACCAACTTTATTTCCTTTTTGAACAGAATCAGCAATTTTAGCTTTTAAAACCATGAATTACCCTACTAATTAAATCTTATTTTCATATTAAATTCCATAATCACCACCATAAACCACTTTTTTGTCCTATAAATTGGGGACCTTCCCTCCTTATTTTCATCATCAATAGCCAATTAACTCTTTATTGAGAAAAAAGGTGCGGAGAGATATGGCAGGGTTATCTTCCAAGTCTTTTGCTCTCCTTCTTCTTGCCATGAGTTTCTACATAAACTCTAGCTTTGCCGCTAGAATCACCCCACACAGCAGCACAGAATTCATAAGAAAATCTTGTACCGCAACAACTTATCCAAAACTTTGCTATACTTCCCTCTCCATCCATTCAAGCGCAATCCAAACCAGCCCTAAGCTCCTAGCAAATGCCGCCCTTAATGTAACACTATCATCAGCTAAATCAACTTCAACCATGATGTCAACGCTCTCACAAGGCCATGGCTTGAAGCCTAAGGAGGTATCAGCCATGAGTGACTGTGTAGAGGAGTTGAGTGACGCATTAGATGAGCTTAGAAAATCCATTGATGAAATGAGTAACGCTAAAGAATCCAACTTTGGGCTGATGATTAATGATGTACAAACATGGGTTAGTGCTGCTATGACTGATGAGAGTACTTGCGGTGATGGGTTCGCAGGGAATGCTATGAATGGTAATTTGAAGACAACTGTCAGGGGAAGGATTGTGAATATAGCTCAGTTGACTAGCAATGCCTTGGCTTTGATCAACAACTATGCTTTACTTCATGGTTAGCTACTTTAAGTTTGGCTAATTCCACCATTTAGAGTTCCCAATGGGAGTCAATTTATGTTGTGTGATGTCCTAGCTACTTTGCTAGTGTACTTGGGTCGTAGTAAACTGTATTTTGATCTGTGCGGCCTCATATTGTTAAAGATAAGTGGTTAGGAGAGTGTTTAAGGATGGTGTAAGTAATTTGTTTTATATTACTAAAGGTGTGTAAATTTTGTAGACGATCGAGTACGTAAATGATAGGACGTTGGTTTTCAAATTTGTTCTTTACTTGGATTGCATTTTTATTTTGAAGATTAGACACTTGCACAACATGCTCACTTGCACAGAAATAGACACATACAGCCTCCTAAAAGCGATTGATCAAGGATCTTGCCTTCTTGCAGCCTCCTAATAAGCCTTGTTGTCTGCATTGTATATTCTAAGATCATGAGAGAGGATTTTGTCGTCAATTTCATGTGCCAATCACCATTTTTTAAAAGGTTCGATAGTACCATATATCATGCATTGACTATAAACCGATACCCTAAACTATATATATATATTTTTTTCCATTCAAATACAATAATTATTTTTTAATTTATAATCAAATCCGTGAATCGGAATATGTTTTTGACATATAATGCTGACATGATCCAATAATTAAAAAATATTCTTTATTTCCAACTAACATGATTGTATAAAATTATAAAATATCTCACATCCTTAACTTAAAACAAAAAAATGAGATTTTTGGTTTGACTAATTACTTTTTATCCTCTTTCTTTTCTTCCTTCCATCCTTCTTTCTTTTTCTTTTCTTTTTTTCTTTTGTTGCTTCTTTCTTCTCTTCTTTAGCAGGTACAATTAAAACTAGGTCTATTTTCCCTACGTACTTTCATTAGCTTTTTCACCAATGTCACTGTATCCAATGAAAGATGGGCACACTTTTAGATCTGCTGCTATGGAATCAACTCCTGTTTAAATCTTGTAGATCTGCTGCTATATTAAATATTGAGCATAAAAATAAAAAATAACTCAAGAAAGGGTATCTGAGGTATTAGAAGAGAGAAGGGTTGGAAGAAGGGGAATAAAGGTTTTTTTTTTTTTTTTTGTGCTAAATGAAAAAGAAAGGAAGAAGTTTTTTTTTTCTTTTTTCTTTTTTGGTGTGTCAAGGCCTAATGTTTCTGATGTAGTTACTGTTGATAGCAGCAACCCGGGCTTTGTTGCACAACAAATATCAATCCTTGTATCCTAAGTTCTTCTTTCCTCCTCAAACTGCAAAGCAAAGATCGTAAGATAAAAGGCCATGGAGGTCAAGAGAAAAGACCAAATGGAGCCCCATGATTGGATGTGGTTGGTTTGGTGGTTTGGTCTGCAGCTTTGTGATTTTTTACATCCGGCCAAATTTTGTAGGACCATGATCGATCGATCAACGTAAGGATAACTGTACTAGTTATGTTTGCAAAACTATCTTGTGATAAACTTAAGTTCACAAGCTTTAATTTATGAATCAAACGCTCAAAAGATCAGAATGCTTTTATAAATAAGGAGTCCCACAGAATTAAGATCCTTCTTCGAAGCGGTTTCCTTAAAATTTCAATATAAGTAATTAGATACCTATCTAGCTTTTTTCCAAAAACCTAGACACTACGAGTTCCAGTAAGCAACGATCAGAGATGTCATCCGCATAAATAAAAACTGTTCAAATAAAGCTTACATGTTAGTGTTAGATTTAGCCACAAAAACTAAAGTGGTGTTTCATAAAACTGAAAATTAAGTATTGAATTTTAAGTGCTTGAATCATGTAAGTATCGAATATGTTCTCGACAAACTGTTTGGTATTTATCGAAAATTAAGTATCGAATATAATAAGCATGTTTGAAAATGATAGAATATATATGATATTTTTTAAGATTTTAGTTTAAACATATGTATCCGATTATATTACTCTTATTGTTTAAATTTTATTTTTTTCAATTATTTTTTTCTTACTAAAATTCTCATCAAATTAATTTTTGATATCATTTTATTTGTTAATAAATTTGATTTTTTAATATATGAATTTTAGAATAAAATTTTATAACGTCGATGTTTTATTTTTTTAAAATATATTATTATAATTTATATAATAAATTATTTTTATGTTTTTCAAATGAGTATGTTATTTTTCAAAGTATATTATTATAATTTATAAATTCGATATATATATATATATATATATAGAGAGAGAGAGAGAGAGAGAGAGAGAGAGAGTTTGACTTAATCAGATAAGTTAAAAATTTTAACTTATCCGATTAAGTAGATTTTAACTCGAACTTAAAATTTTAATATGAGATCATTGAAGTTATCAAACAAGATTTTTATATTAAGTAATACAACTTAATTTTTTAAGTTACTTAATTAGATTATATCACGACACGATTAAATCTAATTTATATTGGTCAGCTATAGAGGTATATACTAGTTTTAAACAATTAAGTTTTCATAAAATTGTCGACATATGGGTCTATATTGAATCATCAGTCAACAAATCTAAAAGTTTATATTAAACGAACCATAAAATGTGTGATAAAAGAATAATAATAGAGATTTATGTAAATCAATTATGAGAGTTTACATCGATCAGAGACATTTGGAAAATTGACAAAAATGTTAAATTATATATACGGGGAAGAAAGCAATTACATAGATTGAAAACTTCTAAAAAAAAACATGTAAAAAGATAAATAAACCTGTAAAGAAAGATGTAAATAAAGCAAGTAAGTTTTGCAATAAGAAAACTATAATGATAAAGGATCAAGATATAAATAATAATAAATTGCTGAAAACTTGAGAAAATTTGTATTGAAATTATTGTGTCAAGGCAGATAACAGAAAATACAATGAAGGTGCTTCTTCTTTTTTATTATTTTAAAGCCTAAAACCTACTTGTGTGACAAATAAGGAAAAAAGATCGACTTAAGAATCAATCTCTAACTAGAAATATATTAAATAAAATAAGCATTAATGTCTAATTAGACAAAAAAAAAAAAAAAAAAAAACACCAATAGGATTTTTGAAAGATTTAGAAAGACTAAATAGGAAAATCTTAAATTAAAAAACTCGTGAAGTCTTTTAGAATAATTTTAATCATAAAATCTTTCAAGTCCCAATTAGTAAAGTATAAATCGGTCACGTTCGATTAGAAAAAACTTTCTTGAATATCGACTAATGCGGCTATCAATCTTTCATTGAACAATACCTATATATATGTTCATAACTTGAAATTTTTATTTTTGAATTTGAACAATAAGGGAGGACAACTTTGGTGGCCACCTTAATGATTTATTGTTGATGCTAAATGGTCTAAATTCATTTGTTTAAATTGCATGCATATAGCTAATACTTTTCAAGACCCAGCTGGCTGCCAAGGGAGAGTTCAAGTACTCACGAACGAAGGACGAGGTCCCAATTCGAAATGTATACAGTTGGCAGAGTTAATCATGGGCCCTAAATCAAATCAAATCAAATCCTGGGGCATATGAATTATTGTAGTGGGAATACTTGTTGAGATATTTTGAAATAAATAAATAAATCATACACGGTTTTGATGATTTTGGCAATGTTTTCGATTCAAAAAACATCTTTATCAGATGAAAATATTTTGAAAATAACTCGAACAAATTTCTTGAAAAATTACCAAAATTAGCAGTGATTTTGAAAATTTTGGAAACTTTGAGAGGGCCATGGCCTTTTCGGGCCTCCAATTGTAAGAATATAATTGAACTTATGCCTGTATGAACATATGATTTGTTCGACTCAGATATTGATTTATTTTATTTGGTTTTTAAATAATCGAATCCAACCAAATCAAAATAACTTTATGAAAATTTGAATTGCATGGACAAAAATATTTCACTTTTTGATTTTCATTTTTTTCCAGCTAATTTTTTTAATTTAAATATTTTATTATTTTTTTGGGAAATACAACTTGAAAGTAAAAAAACAAGAATTTAACTCTGCATTTTCTTTGGAAATAAAACCAAAATAAATTAAATACAAAATTATTAAAATGTTTATATAAATTTTATATAAATTTTTATATTAATGGTTATTTTATTTCTTCGATGTAATCTTATGAAAAAAATTATTAAGAAGTTTTTTTAATTTTTTTTAATTTAGATTATTACATGTTTTTATTTAAGAAGAAATGTATAAGGAAAAATAGATCGTTTTTTTTAAACTACAAAATTTATGAAAAATAAAAAAAAGAATAAATTAAATACAAAATTTTGATTCAAAATTAGGGTTAATATCCTCGCATGTCCCTATATAATAGGCTAATTTTTCAATTTGTTCCTAAAAAACAAAAAGACTAATCTTTTCTTATACTTTGAGTTGGTTTCTAATCTATCCTTTTAGTTAAATTTGTTGTCTAAATTAAGCATGTGATTTACACATGGTATGTAATTTGATAAAATTATTTTTATTATTTGGCATAAGTAATCTATATCTACTAATATGAAGATTATTTTTTTTAAAATTGACAAAAAAATTTGACCATCATGATAGATTAGAAAAAAAAATTCATAATATAAAGATAGATTGAAGGATTTTTTTTTCTTTTAGGGACAGATTGAAAAATTGATCTATTATATAAAGACAAGTAAAGGTAATAACCCTAAAAATTATTGAATTAGATAAAAAAAAATTTACCTTTAATTTTATATATTTTAATTAATCGACAACATATTACGGAATATGAAACCAAACTAAATTTATTTTGTACGGCGTATAGCATTGCGGGAGAAGCCAACTAATTAGTTTCTACATAAACTATAGCTCGACTGCTAGAGTTATCCCACAAAGCAGCACAGAATTCACAAAGCAATCTTGTGGCACAACAGCGTATCCAAGACTATGCTATACTTCCCTCTCAATCCATTCAAGCACAATCCAAACCAGCCCTAAGCTCCTAGCCAATGCAGCCCTTAATGTCAACACTGTCATCAACTAAATCAACTTCAACATGATGTCAACGCTCTCCCAAAGCCATTGCTTGAAGCCCAAGGAGGTATCAGCCATGAGAGACTGTGCATGGAGGAGTTGAGTGAATGACCTTAGAAAATCCATTGATGGAATGAGTAATGCTAAAGAATCCAACTTTGGGCTGATGATAAATGATGTAGGTTTAACGGCATAATACGTCTCTTTATTTTTGATATTTTCTTAATGCATTCTTTATGTTTTTTCTTATTCAACATCTTTTTGTATTCTTTAATTTTTCTTAATGTAATTTTTCTCATTGAAATCTGAAGATTCTTTAAATTGATGATGATAGATAATAAAAAATTATTATACAATATGACATATGAGATAAAATTTTTAAAAAATAATATATGTGATATAAAAATATTGATATTTTATCATTTAAATTATGCGACGGCAATGATAACATAGATATTAAATCATGAAGTGACGATTTTGGATGCTTTAACCCCGTGAACACTAATAATTGCCGTAGTTTTCATTAAAAATGTATGGTTAGGAGACTCCAAATACCTAGACCTATAATAATAATAACCACTCTTATGAACCACAAATTTCCATTATAAATCAATTATATTTGATATTTTTGGAAGCTTTAGACCATCCATACAATAATTTTGAGCAATAATAACTGCAACTGAAAGAGAAAGCTTAACAAGAACCTAAAAAAAAACAAAGGACAAATGTGTTTAGTGGCAACCTCAAAAGTTTGTTGCCCAACTAGGATATATGGTCTAAATTCATTCGTCCCAAGTTTGTTGAAGAATTAGGTATCTTTTGTAGGATGATAAGAGCAGGATCAACTTGTATCTTTCTTGGAATTTCAATCAAGACCCTACAAGCAAGCATTTTGTTTTTGATCCCAAATACTCAGTTCTTTGCATGCGTTATCTTTCATTTTCCCACTCAATCTGCCACTTGAAGATATCTAATCATGGGGTCTTCAGAAACAAAAAGAAAAGAAATAGAAATAATGGGCTTCTAAATGATTGTGGGTAAGTTTTGGACCCACAATAATTAAAAAATAAAAATTAGTGGTGATTTTGAAAGGCTTAGAAACTTTGGGAGAGTCATGGCCCTTGCTGGCAACTCTCCAAATCTATTGTCGCTAGGAATATTAGTCTCAAACTAGATGGATGTGGATGCCAAGTAAGTTTAAAAAAAAAAAAAAAAGTCATTTTCAATTATAAGTTATTCTCAGAATTACTCATGTGGAACAAATTTTTAAATATTTCTAACTTAACATTAAGGGATAGATTAATTGATTAAAGAGGTTTTTCCACTCCTTTAATATCCTAATTTCGAAATTTAGAGCAATACTTTGTTCTTCTTCTTCTTTTTTTCGATAAAATGAGAGGATGATTATATTAGATTAAGGACATGAACCTTACAATAAAAAAAACATACAAAAGTTAGTAAGCGAATAAATAAGGTATAGGTGATTTAAACCATGAAATTTTATACTATTCATTGAGTAACTATCAATACTCACTTTAAGAGAGAAACATAAAGAGAAAAGAAAAATTAAAAAATTAAAAAAAAATTTGAGCTGATATAAAAATATTCTTACCCTTTTTTGTGAAGCTAAATGTGATTTTTTTTTTTTTTTTTGTCTATCCTGTTCCAAAAATAGATCTATGGAATAACTATTATAAATATACAATATTTACTTATAGAGTATTTTAAAATTTCTTGCATAGTCCTTATAAGTGATAGGATACAAAGGAGAACCCCAAGTTGCAAACTAGTAGAACATAAATTACCTTCCTTAAATCGAATCAAATATATCACGTTTTGTATTTGTGACCAATTAATTTAATCTCTCCATGTAAATCCACTATTTTTATATTTTTTTATTTGATAATAAAAATATTTTTATTAGTTTTTGCATTAACAGAGAATTTTTTTCCAAACTATCTTAAAACAGTTTATAAATCCACCATTAATTTTTATTACAATTAATCGCCAATGTTCAAACTTAGTTAAACGTCAAGCCTCTCGTGTATGTCTTTCTTAATAAAATAATTAAAAATAAAACATTGACTTTAACAAAAATTCACTAATTCTAAAAACCATAATGTAAAAATGGCCAGACTACCATCTATTGAGAACTGGGAAGCATATGAAAATTCACTCCAAAAGTTAAATAGAAAGGAAACCTAAATAGGATAATATTTTTTTATTTATAATAAATTCACTAATTAAAAAACCCATAATGTAAAGTCTATAATTCAAACAATTGATAAAAATTATATATAACAACAAACAAAATAATAAGAAGAGCCAGCTGGAGTTCGTGTTGATTAATAACGGACGGGTCAATCCCTCATCCGCATACAATCTCTGAATTTTTAATTCATATTTAGAAATTCTTGAATTTTATTTATTTATTTTTGAGATTTAGTCCATTCTTTAATTTTCTATAATTTTTCTCAAAATACAATTACATAAACTGCTCTATAATAAAAATCATTCAAAAAAAAATTATGTGGGGCTCTCCAAAAAATTTGAGATCATTTTCTATTTTTTTTTTAATTTTCTATATTTTTAATCTTTTAAAAATAAACAAACATAATTCCTGACTTCGAAAAATTCTGAAATTTTTCTAAAAAATGAATTGAATTATTTCCAACATGCGTAAAACTTCAGATTAAAATGTCAAGAATTAAATTTTTTATTATAATTCCTGACCAACAAATTAGGATGCTGCAATATTCAGAATAAATCATCATTAAAAAGAAGTAATTTTCTAAGTATAATAACATAAGTCTTAAAAAGTTCAAACTGATATGACGAAGTTCAGTGTGCAATATGTTGATCATATTTCCAAGTTCTGTGATGCTGAATGTTGTGAGAGATGACAGGCTTTTCTTATGATGATTTTTCTTCAAAGAGTGCTTGGCAGCTGATCAGATACAGAAGCACTAAAATGGAGTGACATAAGCTAATTTGGGGTCCTTCGAACGCAAAATGCAGTTTTTTGCATCGCTGCCAGATTTCTTTTGAAGCAGTACTACAAGTGAAAAGAGTTTTCCAACCTCTGGAGCTTGATTAAGTACTATACAAACATAATCGATGTTTCTGCTACAAATGGAATCTGGCGGCATGTATTGCATCTATGCTGTATGTATAAACAGTATAATGGGCCAAACGATTTGTCCAGAAGAAATGCTTCCTGTCAATCATTCTAAGAATTTCCTGGTGTTAATTTACCTATACTGTTTAGAGAGAAAGAGACAGAAGGAATCATGCAGATGAAGAATTATCTTTTGATGCTCTTAAGGAGACGCTTAAGAGCATGGTCCAGTCGAGGCCATACCAGGCTAGCCACTACAGAAAAGCATTATCTAATGGGAGGTATCTTACTCTTTGCAGCAATCGGAGGCTACATTAGTATCTTCATTTCCTTTTCTTGTATTCTGCTTTCAACTGTGAAGATTGTAATCTTTGGTTCTTTGTTTTGGCTCAATATGAGGCTTGAGCAAACCTGCTGAGTTGCTTGAACAACTCTAGAAAGGAGCCTAGATCACCTCTAGTGTTTAACTGCTGCTAATGGCACAAACTAAGGACAAAAGTATTGCAATAGCTGATGTAACCATGTGACCTCTCCCAAAACTTTTTCTGCTGTGTATATCTTATCCCTGACATGACATATCTGAAACATAATATCAAATGCATCATCAACTCGTAATTATAATCTAGGACTATTGTTTGGCAAATCAGTAATCGAAAATTCTATTTATCTGTAACTTTTCTGATGCGCAGAAGGATACCAACGAAGTTTGAAACAATGCAGTTAGTCAAAGATTTTGATCTATCAGCCATGGACATGAGCAGTAAGTCTAAAGTTACATGAAATTGTTAAGAAGCTGTCTTGGGAGGAGACATATTATTAACAAGGGAAACTACAGTGCTGAGCGTGAATATCTGCACCAGCAATCCTGTTAAGACAAGAGCAAGGAGATTCCAAATTTTCAGAATGCAATGCCACAAAATCAAATATAAGCATGAAGACAATGTAACTCACCAAGTGCAAGAACAAAAAATTCAATAAGTACAAACTTTTTTGTTTCCCAGTCAAGTGGATTCTGAATAGCCTGCCCAGTAAAAACCAAACAATATTCATTAGATCTCAGCAACAATTACTGTTTATATTTCAGGAGTAAATATCGGGGTTCCAGTGATCTCTTTTTCATTTTATTGGTTAGTAATAAAATTGTCTGCTCAATTTGCAGTCTAGACAATCCAATTATAAAAAGAAAATATGATATCAATTTATACATGATTTACAAGAATGCCACATCAAGGACCTTGCATGTAAAGCTCCATCCTCATTACCCTTAGGATACATGAAAACAAAATACAGCATTTACATGAAGAATAACACCAAAAGATGCACCAACCTATTAACCTCTAATTTCTGCCAAATTCCATAAATCTAAGGTATTATATGACATCATAATTCGTTCACCAAAAAGAACATCTACTCTATAGTATGTCTACAAAGTACCCCTGAATCACTAATTATATTATTCATGAGAATCAAAATCATATTTTGGATCTATGTGTAAACAATCTTCAAGGAATAGAGATATTCCAACACCACTGTTGAAAAGAATGGAGCACTAATGAACCTAGCTTACCTCTAACAGTGAACTGCCATTAACGGCAGAAAATATGTATAGAAGTATTGCAACAGTTGACGTGATCAGGTAAACTCTCAAGAAACTTGCTCGGCTGCGCCTTCGACCTTCAACAGAGGACAATGGACGAGTATCAAAAGATGTAAAACTCCAAATCAATAATAAAAAAATTAAAAAATTAAAGAAGAATTATGTAAGCAACCTAATTCTCCGATTAGAAGAGAAATCAACCCAAATGCAGAAGATGAAACACCAAGTGTGTTTGGATCATTCCCTTTTGATATTGGTAAAACCACAAAAAATAGTCCTATCAATTGAAAAATAGCCTGCATTAAAATTAAAATCACATCAAAACAAAATGAAGAAAAAAGGTACTTCTAAATCAACTTCATGAAGGATAAAGATGCTTAATAAAAAACTGGGGTGAACTTCTAGAACTGCAATTGTAATCCTAATATCTGAAAAGCACAAAAACTTCAAACATCACAAAGCTACTAATTGAACATCACATGTTAATCTGATACTAAACTTGAATTGAACCAAATGAACCTGAATCAACTTCAACTAGCATCAGAAACTTGTTATCCATAAATGATAAACCAAGTGCAGCTCTCACTTGCCCTATAAATCAAATTACTCAAATTTTTTTTTCCCTAGAACCCCCTCCTGAACTCCAGACCCATGATAAGCCCACTGACGCATGGATTATAAATCATGGGTCAAAGAGACAGTTGGTGGCCCTGACATAAAGTTCAGTAAATGCTAGAACTCAAACCTCAAACATATCGATTTCAGGTCACCCTTTTGCCACTAAACCAATGTTACACAATTTTTGAGATACTTAATGTCCTTTTAATTAAATTTACAAAAAAATCAGTTCAAGCCAAGCAAATCATTTGATTCAAATACAAATAGAACAAAACTCTTTTCCTGCCAATTACTAAATGACACCGACTGTTCTGCACTTATTTATACACAATATACCTGAATAAAGAATAGTGCTTTGAGTCGAGACTTCCCTTTAGCAACCTTTGTATAACCTATAATCAAAATTTAACAAGAACCCAGATGAAAAATTAAACTAAAAAGCTCAAAAGAATCAAACCTTGAAAAAAACGAAACTCTTTTAGACATTGACATAAGGATTTACAGATTCAAAACCAAACCATAATATTGTTGATTCAAAGAGATGAAAAAGAAGAAGAGAAAACCATACGTGAATCAACCACCATGCGGTAAGAGAAATCAGAACCATCAGTTCCAGATGGCCTCCCTGCTTTCCTCTGCTGCATCTTTCTTCTTTCTTTGGTCACAGGCTGGTGATCTGGGAGAGTGTAATTGTTAAGAAATTGATAATTTTTGGGTTAAAAAATGAGGGAGGAAATTTTTGTTTTTTTTAAATAATCCTAGAAATTTGAGATTTCTGATTTTGACCGCATAAACCTTTACTATTTGGCTGAAAAGCCCAAGGCAAGTGGAGTTAATTACAAGTTAATCCCTATAGTTATAAAACATGATAACTTAGTTCATGTAGTATCAAAAATAACAAATTAGTCTTTTGATCAACGTTCCCCATTATTAATTTGGTATTTATTTCCCTAAAAAACGCTTAAACAATTGAGATTTTTAATAAAAAGGCATATGTTCAAATTTTAATTGAATTAAACATTTAAGATTCTAATATAAAATGATAAAAAAATGATCCAAAAATATCCCATTATTTTTTATAATAATATAAATAATAACAATAACAATAATCCCTGGATATTTTAAGTAAGATTATGCAATTGTTTGTAGTAATAAGGGTATGAAGCTCAAAAAAATCAAATTAAAGCATTTCTTAGTAATGTCTCTATAAATCAAGTCTTCAAGTAACTTATAACATTGAGAATCATGAATATTTTTCTTGGCCATCCACCAACTAAAACAACAAATCAATGGTTGAGAGCGGTGATTTATGGTTTTGGTTGCTGGTTGTGGAGGAGGGAAAAAGAAAGACGAAGATGGCTTTAGCCACCATCATGGTCTTTGTGATTGAGAAATCGGTAGTTGAGAAATTAGTTTATAATGGTTTTATAGCGTAGGCTTGATGGAGGAAGTTAAGGTGGTTGACAAAGCAACGGTGATGATAAGAACACCAAATTGGTGGTAGCAAGAGAGAGATTGAGGAATCCAAAAAGATTTAAAAAAAAATCATTTATCTAACTCGATTCTTTTTTTTTTTTTTTGTCAGTTTTTTTGTCTTTTCACAATATACTTAAATCTCTTAACGAATTAATCTGTTAGAATTTAAATTCATAATTTTTTGTTATAAGAGATCACTACTACTCGAACTACAAACTCTCCGATTGTCTAACTTGATTCCAACTAAATTAAAATCGAAAATATATGATAGATTTAGATATTTTTAAGGCGGAGCAAAATCCAACTCTAACCCAAGCAATTTTCATCTGTATCAAGAAGCCATTACTATTTAAGCTAAAAGCCTATTAGTTTGTGTTTTCATAAATTCACTAACATAACTTCTAACACCATTAATTGAGGTGTAAAGTTCAATATGCAAATAGTTGGATAGCAAAGTGTTATATTGACATAATTATAGGGTGCCCATAATTATTTACTCTTGATTCTATGTAATTAACGATTAATCTCACGTTCATTGCATGAATTTTCTATCACACAAAAATTCTATCAAACATTAGGGTGGATAAGTCTTGTTAGTTTCTTCACATCAAAGTTCGATTTAAAACATTTATAAATTTAAAAAAAAAATCAACGTTTCATTTAGTTTTATTTTGAGATATGGGAGTGAATTAATACCAACTATTTTACTTCATATTAACTACTAATTAAAATAACAGAATGCAACGCAAAATAATAATAATTAACTTACCTCAAGTTTCATAATATAATATAATTGACATATCATTTATTTTTATATTTGCGAATATATAAAATTCAATTCATTTAATTTAACTGAAATCAGAAAATATCTAACAAGTTGAATAATATGTGTTACAATATACTTGAAGAAAAAGTAATATATTTTACTTTTATCAAATTTTAGTGAGATTAAAATGATTCATGATTTTTGTTGGCCATCCACCAATATTAGTATATTACAACACTGAGTACAATTAAGTGAAAGTTATAATGGAAATTATACAAAACAATAAGAGATAAATTTATTATAATCATATAACTTAAAATTTCATTTTTTTTTTTTTACATAATTTGAAAAAAAAACATACATATCTTTGAAGAATACTTGGAAGCAGAAAAATGCTGAAAAATGATTTTTCTTTCTTAACCTCTTTGTTAATGATAAAAACAATACGATAGTCTGAGTTTTTTTTTTCCTTACCAATTTGGTTATTGTCATGAACAGGTAGATACATAATTAATTATATATACTGTAAATATCATATATCATAATGAATTATATGTATATAGGATTAAATGTCAATGAATCAGATCTTTACTCAAATCTAATTCGAATCTAATGACAACAATAACGCATATCCGTCAACAAATATGTAAATATAAGATTAGGTTAAAATTTTGGATTTGTTTATTCTAAATTTCAAATAATGCATATCCTACAACAAGTAGAAATCGCCGCCATTGAAGTACCTCCTCTCCTCCACTAGTGAACCAACGACCGCAGAAATCTCACGCCGTGAAAATAGTGTCCACCTCCACAACCGTATCCACCGCAAGAAAACGAGCTTGGTTAGTAACCTTGGTGTTTGATTAATTGGATATATTTTAACCATTTTCGTTCGATTTGCATCTAATCAAACCTGCAATGAAAAGTTTAAAGTGGGATTGGTGAATATTACATAAAAAGAAAACAAATTCTAAATTCGGACGCTAACTGTTCTATGCAATGCCACTTTAGATGTGTAATCCTTTTTTAGTAGGATCGGAAACTAACATAGTATCGTAGGACGTAGGGCATAGTTGGTGATAGACCTCTTTTCGTTTGTTGGTGAAAGAATATACAGAAGAGATGAAATGAAGCTAGATCGATATTTACTAGAGAGAGTAGGTTATCAAACTAAAGCATTGTTTTTGAAGTACCTCTAAGAAAAATGATGTTATCACAATGTCCTAGCATCCTACCAATATTTTCAAAATTTATTGAGGCATGTTTAAAATCTTGAAAGTAATGTCGAAGATGTAGTTATGGTTTTGCATTAAAAGAGCAGGTGATGAAGAGATATGGAGACATTCTTGTTTAGACTGAAGTCATTCTTTAAACATGATGTTATTGTCTCATAATTCAGCTATAAGATACACAAAAACTCTACAAGCTAAAAATCTAGTTGTGCAATTCACCTGTTTATCCAATTCCATCGTTTGTGGCAGAAAACTATTCGTCTAAACCTGCTGCTATAGAAGTAATTGTTTTCAGATGTCTGATTTGCTTTGGAGGATCTGATCTGTAACAATTATGGAATATGCATTCATAAATTGAGATGGATGAACTTCATGTTTTTATATACGAGATATTCCTTAATGACATCAATGCATTGTGGAGTTCGGGGAGAATTTTGCTCATAAGATGCATTGATTTACAATGTTTTCAGTGGAATATCCTGACAGGAGTTCGTGAGTTCATAAGATGTCTGAATTGTGGACTTTGTGCCCAAGATATCATTTAAGACCAGCCTCATAGGAAGGGGTACTTCTATAAGTAACCTGATGAAGTAAAGAAGATTATTAAGTTCATCACCAACATAATCCTAAATCTGTAGTTAAAAGACATGTATTTCTAGTCTGTCTGGACTCTAGCTAGGTGCATATTAATAAAATCTTTATACGCCGATATATCAAGATGGCAGCATTACAAGTACTTAAAAATTATATGTATTGAAGTGAAGATACAAATCTCTGTTCAAAAGCTTACTTGGCACTCGGCAGTATGCATTTTTGGTAGGGATATTCAAGTCCACCATAAACCTTAATATGGTCACCATATTCCTTTATGGTATCAATACTTGTTAGGAGTGTAAAAGGATCATCTCACTTTTTTTGATAGGGATATTCAGGTTCACCATAAACCTTAATATAGTCATTAAGTGAAAACCCTTTGAGCTTGAAACTTGTACGAGCTCACATTACCTTGTGCTTAATTAATTAGAAGAGAAAATAAGAGTGGTAGGACTCGAACTCCCCACCGTTTGGTCATTAAGGCTCGATACCATGTCAAAGAACCATCTCACCTAAAAACTTAATTAAGCTCGTTAGGTGAGACCCCAAGATATGATTTATATTATTTTTTAAAAATGTGAATTATAACATTTACTATGTTTTTCATGCTTAAGTAGCTTTTTGTTGGCATTGTTAACTAGTGGGATGAATTGCATACCTGATTTTAAATTAATAGATGGATTACTGATTTTGAGTGCTTCCATCAAGCTTTAATTTATGTAAAACTTATTTTGAATTATATTTTTGATTTGTTTGTGTTGTATTTATATAAATACTTCAAATACAATGAATTTTTTTTCCTTCTCATATTGAGAATGATGTAGACGAAAAAAATCACATTACATGCTGAAGAATGTAATAAAGACCATTACTAGCAAATATGAGAGCAAACACATGTATAAATTTTGCTGTGTCTTCGTTCCACTGCTTACATTTTGCTGTGTCTTCCTTCCACTGCTTACATTTTGATCTGTCTTCGTTTCACTGCTTGTGAAAATTGTTGTATTAAAATCTGCAAAAATTCCAAAACCAACCCATTTAAAAAATAAAAAACAAAGTTGTCATTTCCATATCAAAATATATAATATCAAATAGAGTATTTCCATACCCAAAAATTAAAATTTGATAGAATAGTAAAATCAATGTTCATGATCCTAATCCAGTACTGTGTGCTACCATATTTCTTGACCCAAGTTATGAAGTCTAGAGGTCGACAAAAGCTGATTCTTGTTTAAGCTAACAGTGAATTGTCTTAATGTACAATTTCAATTCTTTTTTATTGAAACAGTCCCTGCATAATTTAGCAGATTCGTACAAATTCTATTATATATGTAGAACTTGAAAAAAAAATAATAAGCAATTTAAAAACTTCTTCAATAAAAAAAAATAATAATAATAAATAACGGATAAACAATATGAGAATTTTTATTGGGTAATGGACAGGATAACTGGTCCATTGTCATGTAGCCTACAATTAATTTTACATTTTAATTAATTGTACATTAAGTAATCTTCTGATTACAAAATAAAGATTGAGAATTTCTATCTTCCACCTTTGAAGTAAGCCAAGGCCCCAACGAAAGGTGAATTCATGTATGTAGTTGGTTCTGATTGGGAAACATTAAGACGGCTATCAAGAAATTGATCATGTTCATCAGGTCCTCCAACAATAGCCCCTACAAGCGCGTTTTGATTAGGTGAACTGGTCACCATATAGTTGTTTCCATCATGACATCCAATCCGTGCAGGGTAACGAATCTTGGAAGGCATGCTCGATCCACGGTGATGAATTCTTTGAGGGAATTTTTTGCCATATCCAACCATGTATGACATGCCTAATGGATTGCTTCCAAGTATATAATCCACCTGCACCAACAATGCTCCATTACTGTTTTTTTTTTTTTTTCCTTAGTTTTAACCATTAGGATGTTCTCGGACGGTTCTTTTTACACAAGAATGTGCCATTACTTTTCTTGCAATCGGAATTAATGGGCTAGACAAGATATTCAATACCTGAGATCTGGCAACGTTGATGAGTCTCGACGGGGTGGCAACCACAGAACCGCAATGAACTGATCGTTTGGCAAGGTGTAAATACCGAGAGTAAACAATAAGAAGAAAGGACAAAGCTGTTGCATGTTGCAAGTTACTTCCTCCAGGTTTGAACATAAGCCCACCTGTTGAACATATAAATTCATCACTAAGAACACTGGCAACATATAGGGAAAATCAGGCTATCCATGAAGAAATTGGTCAGAAAATAGTTACCAGGAGAGTATGTCACTGATTTGGTAGGTGAATCAGGCAATAAGGAACACACGAAATTGTCAGCATTGGTAATGAAGGGACTGCCGGAGGAGTTCATCACCGCCTGTCGATCGAGAAAATAATAAAATGAAAAGAAAATTTCAGATTAAGCAAAAAAATATTACCAGTGATCATTAGAAGATAAATGTAGTTGAGTGATTACTGGGGAAACAAGTATGTTAATCCCAGAATGTTTTGAATCCCATCCGAACTCAGAAAAACTTCCTCCTAGAGTTGCCATATTCTTTACAACATAATCCCAATACTTGGGATCCTTAGTTGCCTTGGATAACCATGCTGCTCCCCATATTAGTTCATCCTGTAAGACAAATATATTTATCATATATGATAATTTCAGCTATCAGATAGATTAATCATTAGTCCTTGTCATCAAATGTTAAGCATCCAAACAAATCTATCATTATCTTGTATTTAATTATATTTTAACTAAAAGAGAAAACGAAAATGATGATATTGAACTAGTGATTGTTTGGTTATTAAAATTACAATATAAAGTCAAAAAATCATCTCATTTTAAAAGTGAAGGTTAATGAATGATTTTATATTGTTTTCAAAATGTTATTAACATTGCATTATAGATAAGAAAACTTTAGCAATTTCATAACTCTCGACTAATGTCAAACACCTACCTTGTAGCCATTGATATCGCAATAAAATGGGCATGCCCCTCGACCAATACTTTGATTGTAAGATCCTTGATAATTGTTTGCAAAGTCGAAGACCTAATTATCCATATGCAAATACAGCAAAATCATCATTAGCTAGACATTCTAAAGCATAATAATTAATTAGAGAAATGCTAGCGACGATCACTGATCATGTCACAACTATCGTCAATATTCGAGCAAGCAAGACAAGCACTTCACTTCATTAACATTATTGACTCAATAACAGCTCTATTACCTTTGATGCCCTATCGAGGAGCCACCTGGAATACTGACTATCGTGATCCTTGAACACCATAGAAGAGGCAGCTAGAGCAGCTGCAATCTCTGCTGAAACTTCTGAGCCAGGATGGGTTTGATTAACAACGTAAGTAGTTCTGAGAGTGTCCATGTCTTCAGGTCTCTCCCAACATGTGTGGTCGCTAATGGGGTCACCAACTTGGGCAACAACCATCCCAGGTTTGCTCGTAGCCTTGAGGAAATAGTCTGTACTCCATCGTAGAGCCTCTAATGCATGATTCAGGTCTGAGCCCATGGAATAGCCAAATTCTAATATACTCCACGCCAACGTTGTTGTTGTGAATGCCATTGGAAAATGGAACTTTACATTGTCACCAGCATCATAGTATCCACCTACTAAGTCCATCTGCAAGAATGTTAAGAACATGTTTTTTTGTCAACGGAAGGCACATTGCTATATACTTGTCTATTGGGCCGGCCTAAATGCGTTACTACATTGTGCATTTGATTGGGCGTTATTTGTTTTTGAGCTTATAGGCCCATTTATTAAATAAAACAAGCATTGTCTTGCAAAATGAAAACAGGATACTGGAGATTCTATTAAAATTTATGCACTAGATGATAGGATATAAGGAGAGTTTTTAAAATCATGATGTGGAGATTTTCTCACATTTTATGGAACAATCACAATTATATAAGGTTTGAATGCATAATTTACTTCTAAACTATTGAAATTGCTGTAAAATAAAATCTATATTATCATTTTGAATTATTTGAACATTAAATTTTTAATTTGGGCAAATTTTATCCTTTAGCATTATATCTAACAGTTCAAGTATTGATTGTTAACTGAAATGCTTAAAACGATATTATTTTAAATATTTTATTTTTAATTAAAAATTCAAATTAATTTTGAAAAAAAAACTAATAATAGTTAAAATGATGTAGTTTTGAAATGATTAATATGAAATAATTCATAAAAAATGATTAAATTTGTTTAAAAATTAATAATTTAAGGTCTAAATCATCTAAATTGATCATATAAATCTTATTTTGTCGCAATAATTTAATGATAAATTATGTTATTAAACCGTTATAAAAAGAAATTATTAGAATTAATGCAGCAATCATAAGAAGACACATCTTTCATAAAACAAGAGTTAGTAACGGAATTGGAAGAGGGGCGAGGTCTAAGCCTCGAGTCTTACCTTGTGATCTAAATTCTAATACAATTACAACATGCTTACTAAAAAATAATAATCGTAAGTAAAAGTTTTAGGAATCTCTAACATTTTTTTATACTTTTTTAAACGGTTAGATTGTATTTTCGAACGAAATTTTGCAATCAAGATTAAATTTATCTTCTAATCTGACTAAAGGCTAATTATATATTTTCTCGTGATCATGAAAAACCTTTATGTACACTCCCTTAAATTCTCTCTTTTGACTAATGAATTTCTTGTGAATTCAGTTAAGCAGACCCACTGATATTAGATGGTGGAAGTTTATTGATCAGGAAATCCAATTGGGATTCTAATTTAGCAGAATTGTCCTGTGCTTATAGACTACTATTGCAAGGTAAGAGATTTTGGGGTTATACATTAATTGTTAATCTCCAGATTGAGAAAAGAAAAGAAAAAATTAAAGCAAGAAAGTACCCTTTTAGACCTTTACCTTTCCGACTACATAAAAAATAAAAAAATAAAAAAATGATAGCACTAAAATTCAGTAAATCTAGCATGTAAAACGATGGAGCAAATCAGATACTTCGTGAGCTGCATGCTTGAATATACATGGAAAGACAAAGACACTTACACCAATATCAGATCCATCTCGAAGGGCAGAATCCCCCCTCCAGTTCATCCTTTGTGTAGAAGGCAACTTCCCTGATCTCTGCCCTTCAAAAAACAAAATGCTTTTCGTCAATGCATCTCCATAATCATGTAACCTGGCTGCTTTCACCACCCTTACCCCTACAAACCCTAACAACAATATTAGTATAACCATCATCATGCTCTTGCCACCCATTGTTTCTCTCTTAATTCCAATTCTCCTCCACTGCCAATGACTTAAATAGACAGAACTGTCAACTCTTGATGAGTAAGACATGTTGTGTCACCACCCTTTCCCAGAGTGGTTTTAGACAAGTTTGGTGCATCAGATGATTCAGTCGTGTTATCACCAGCTTGGATTAATACTTTTCCTTCTATTTATAATGTGCTAAGAAGGAAACTGCAAGCTATTTTTTCTTTTTTTCCAGTTGCAGCAGATTTTTTCCTATATCTATGGTGTGCTAAGAAGGAAAGTAAATTGTGATATTTCCTTTTCCAGTTCTTTTTCATATATTTCTGTTGTGATAAGAAGGAAACTAAATTCCGAATCTTTTTCCAGTTTCATACATCTTTTTCCTTCATTAATATGTTTTTACATTTGGTTGATTTGCTATCAAAATGTCGGATTCGGATTCGTTTTGTTATTTATTAAATGTCATATCTACCAATGGAAACGTATTCCTTCAAAATCTCTTTATATATAGTTAAATAGTAAATTCCCATTACCTGATCATGTAGTCTTTTGTCGTACATGTCATCCTTCTCGGTATAAGAGGATTATATTCGGTGACCTTATGTTACATAACAAAAAGAAACAAAGAATAATAGATAAATACTAGTTTATTAACTGTGCAATGTTGCAAATAGGAAAAACCTAAATTATTTAAGTTTGATACTCATGTTATATTAATATTATAGATCTTTTAAAATATATCGAATTAAAGGTAAATTTTTTTTAAATAAAAGATAATAAAATTTTAATCAAAATTTTGTAGTTAATTGATTATTCCTTATGTTTTTCATAATTTTTCAATTGAAAAAAAAAAAAGATTTGTTATTGTTTACACATTGATTTTTAAATAAGAACCAACAACAATCTAAATAGAAAACTGAATCCAAAATTTTTTTAAAAATTTCCATAAGTTTGTATAAAAAAATAAAGCAATAATTAATAAAAAAATTATTTAGAAAGTAACAAATATAAATATAATTTTTTATTCTTATTTAATGCCGATGGGAATATTATTTTTTTAAAGTAAGTACATTTAATTTTTATACATATTGAATCACAAAATAATCAATAATATAACCTTCAAAAATGTATTTGAATAATTAGATGATTATTTTAAAATATTATTTTAACTGTTTAATCAAAAGAAACTAAATTTAAAATTTCCAAAGAAAAAAAATTAATAGTGAATGGTGGGCTTTATGTGTGTAGATGCATAGTTAATTTTTAATAAAATCAATGATTCATTATATTTTTTATATATACATTATGGCTATACTCAGTGGGTTCAGAGTGTGCAGTATAAAACAATCTATATATGTAGAAATTAAAAGAATTTATTATATAAATTACATTAATGCATTAAGAAAAAAGAAAAATAATCACATTCTAAATTTTTATTCAAAAATCCATACATAGAAAAAAATAAATCATATTTTTTAACAAATAAAATTATATATAAAAAATTAATAAATTAATTAGATGTTTCCATAAAAAATGACAAATCGAATAAATTATCTTAAATTTTGAAAAAAAATCAGAAATAAAAAATCAAATAAAATATATTTTTTAATAGCTAGGTTGCATGAAAAAAGAAGGATTATTTTTTTATATATAAATTTGGCACGAATCAATAAAAAAAATATTTCATACAAAAGAAAGAAAGAAAAAACCAAGTTATGGCTGGCTAGCAAGAAAAAAAAAAGGTCGTCTTTTGCAACTCCTAGCAAACTTGAGTTTGCTAGAAAGCTCGATAGAAAAATAGATTTTTGGGATTTCCAGCCTCAAAACTCAATCCGTCCAACATTTTTTCTCTAAAACACTTTAAAAACATCAAAATGAGGTCAATAAACTTATTTGAAACCTTAAATATCATTTTAATGCATATTTAAAAAAATTCAAATCGAAAAATTCAATTTTTTTTCCTTTGATCTATCTCTTCTAATCATTTAATGGCTTGAAACACCGTAGACAAACTCTTCTCTCCAAGATAAACAAATTAATGGAATCTCACCAACTAAAATGGCCAAAATAAGTTTGGCTAGCGCTCTCTCTTTTTTCCCTCCTCTCTTCTCTATTTGTTTCTCTCTCCTATTTGCCACCAAGGACCAAAGTGTGTCACAAATAAAGTTCTAGATTAAAATAATTTTTTTAGAAACATCAAGAGTCATAGTGTAAAAGTTTGTGTAAATTTCTTATAATTGCCTTAAAAAAGCTCAAAAATTACAAAAATATCGAGCTTTAGTCCACAGTCCAGTCGAGTCTAGGGCTACATTAATTGGATAGTAATTAACCCCAACTCTTTTATTTTGTTTTATAGTGGTTGATTCTCCAAAGAGTAAGGTTGTACAAAAGTTAAGTTGAAAAAAATCTTATGAACACATATAAATTTAATATAATAATTCATAAACCATTTATATGGCAAGTATTGAAAGTAATAATACTATACTTACCACATTACTTTGTACATATTTTATGTATAAATTTTTATATTTATATTTTTTATTCATTTACAAAAAAAAGTTTATAGATATAAATTGATGATGCATGATATCTTAGCATTTAGATTAATTGTACTTGATATTCAATCTCTTTGAGCGGGTTGGAAAAATCTTTTGAAATTCTACTAGTATAAAGCACAAGCATTAGAGTTAGTGATGGCAAAGGTTGCCCCGATATGACAACTTTAATGGCTAAGTCGGTGTTTTGAGGTATACTTAGTAGATATTAGATGTTAGAGAGAGAGAGAGAGAGAGAGAGAGAGTTCTATCTAAAATTATGTATGCATATTGGTGTGATTGATCTTGTGTTTGAAATTGTTAGACCTATATTTTATAAAAGGGAGATCTTTTATATCTAGTAGAAATAATGGCCATAAGACATGTTTTTAGATTGTGAAGCCAAATAACTATAAGGCCTTGAGGGAGAGACCTATGTTTGTGAGAAAACCCATTCTAGTGGGCTTTGTGGAGAGTCTAATTTTCATACTTTATCGGTTGCCTCCTGTCCGAAAGTGAGCTCACTCGGTTCGAGATAGAATGATGTTCTAATATGACGTAGTTTGACCATGTCGTGGCTTTAGAAAGATGACTCATTAAATTTGAATTGTTTGGCCATCTTGTTTGAAGAATTTTTCGGACAAACTAGAGTTTTTAGAGGAATCATAATTCTTAGTTCTTAGAAGAATGTATTACTACATGAACAACCTCTTTGAGGAGCGAGTTCCAAAACGAACGTATTTCTAAAGTAATAGAGATTAATAATGAATGGACTCTCCGAGAAGTAAGTTTTTGGAATAACATAGATTCTCGAACAAATAAACTTTTAGAGGAGCGAGTTCACAAAAGAGTAAAAATTTCTTAAGGAATGGAATCTCGAAGGAGTTATTTTTTAGAGGAACATAGATTTGTAAAGGAATATACTCTTCGAGGAATGAGTTCCAAAGGAATCTATTCCTAAGCTAATAGAGATTTCTAAGGGAATGGATTCGTAGAGGATCATTGTCATAAGTTCTTGGAAAAATATTACTATAAGTTTCTAGAGGAATATATTTCTAGAGGAACATAGTCGTAAGTTCTTGGAAGAACTTGATTGTAAGTTCTCGAGGAACTATATTCTTAGAAGAATGTTGCTATAAGTTCTTTATAGAATGCGGGTTCTCAAAAGAATATATTCCCGGAGGAACAATGCTATAAGTTACTCGTTAGAACATGGTCGTAGATCTACATATGAGCGAGACTTTTTAGAGAGGAATGGGTTCTTTGAGAAGGGATGGATTTTATAACAAGGAGTGTAATTCTAGATGAAGAGATAGAATTTATGAGGAAGGATGGACTTATTAGGAGTGTTGTAACCCCAAATAGAGGATGGAATCCTTGAGGGGTAATGGCTCTCTAAGGAGTATGAAATTCCTAAGGAAGGATGGACTTTTATCAAGAATGGACTCCTTAAAGAGAAGTGGAATCCCTAAGAAAGGATGAATTCCTAACAAGTGATGCAATCCAAGATGGATGATGGAATTCCTAATCGAGGATGGACTCATTGAGAATGAGTGTAATTCGGATGGAGGGATGGACTCGTAGAGAGTGGACTCCTTAAAAAGGAATGTAATATCGGACGGAGGATGGAATTCTTAAGAAAGGACAAACTCGATAAGGAATAATGTAATTCCTAGTGAAGGATAAAATCCCTAAGAAGGAATGGACTTTTAGAGAAAAGCATAATACCGAATGGAGGGATGGAATTCCTAAATAGGAATGAATTTCATTAGGAGCGGACTCTTTGAAGAGGAGTATAATCCTTGAGGAGGAATGTAATCCAAGAAAAAAGATGGAATCTTTAAAAAAGGATGTACTTTCTAAGAAGGAACGTAATCTCACATAAAGGGATAGAATTCGAGAAGAAGAGTAAATTCCATAGGGAGCAACATAATCTCGAATGGAGGAATGGACTCCGTGGGGAGTGGCATTTTTAGAGAGGTCTCGTGATCCTTTGATTTGGAGTGTAATCCTCGATGGAGGGGTGAAATTTTAGATAAAGAGATGGAATCTTGGATAGAGGGATGAAATCCCTAAAGAGAGAGAAACTCCATGGGGAGTAGAATTCTTAAAGGGTAGTGAGGTCTTTGAAGAGGGATGTAATTTTAGATATGGGATAGAATTGCTAAGAGAGATGGATTCTCTAGAGAGTACTATAATCCTAAACGAAGGATGGGATCTTTAAAGAGAGACGAACTTTGTAGAGAGTGTATTTTTTTAAGAGGAGTGGGATCTATAAAGACCGATGTATTCCTAGAAAGAGATGTAATTTTAAATAGAAGATAGAATTTCTAAGGAGAGATGAACTCTTTAGGGATCAATGTAATTCCAAATAGAGGGATAGAATCCCTAAAAAGGGATTGACTTTGTGGTGAGTAGTGTATGGAATCCCTAAGAAATGATTGACACCATATGGAGTGGACTTCTTAGAGAGGAGTGAGATTTTTTAAGAGGGATAGATCATTGACAATCTTCGCTTCTTTAAGATTTTATCTCTCTCTAAGGAGTCCATCCACTTGGAAAGATCATGGTTTGCCTTGCATAGGTATACAAACACATATTGTCTAGATTTTAAGGCACTATGAATCTTTTCTAAAGAAATAGATGTTATTTACTTCAAAGTGATGCCTAGGGTGCCTTTAGACTCGAGTAAGGTGTGCTTTTATATCCGAACAAAGTAAAAATCCTAATCGTTGAATTTAGAACTTTGAAAGATGTGAGATTCCTTGGTGAGTATCTATGCCTTGTAAGAATTTTTATGTCATTTGCATAAATTAACTCTTTTTTGAACTATATGGTATTTGAGTCGTTAAATATGATTAGATGTTCATAAAATTGTCTTGTCCAATGCATAAGAGGTTGTTTGAGAGCTAATTGAAATTGGTGATTGAATTAGAGATTTATTTCACAACTAAAGATAAAATCGAGTACATTAGATAAATTAGGGACTCGATCTATATGGCATTATAGAGTTTAGGGACTCGAAGTAGAAATAGACAAATGACATTGTCAAGAGTGTGTGTGTCACGCGCTTGTGTATGGGATACATCTCTTGCGTACTCATAATGTGTGATGACTCGTTTAATGGTGAAATAGGGCAATCTATGGTGGCATTGGCTTCGTCTCATTGGCATGAATCTAGTCATCCGACATGTGGTGATGGTAAAGCTATGATGGACGTTTAGCCTCGCTAATTTTTCTATCCGTTTTTTCTTTCTTTCTTTCTTCTCTTTTGTTTTGGATCTTAAGCCCACCTTTTGGCCTTTTTTGTTTTGTTTTTGTTTTTTTTTTTACTTGATTGGGTCGGTTCTATCGAAGATGATTGTGCAGGTTTGTTCCGGATGGTGAACATTAACGGATCACCCATCCAAGTTTGCCCATTTTTTTCGATTAGGTTTATCTTGACTAGATGGTGGACAATAAATAGAACTAGACATCTCATCTAATCTGCATTATTAGTCAATATTTGTATAAAATAATAAAATATGTGATAAGTAAGTGGTAATATCATAAGTGTATTGCAAAATGAAAACATGGCTACTCAATGACTTTTCCTCGCTTTTATCTATTTTTCGACATAGTTTTTACCATAATAATCCAATATTAATAAACTAATAATTGATACACCAAACACACCATGTTGTTTAAAAACATTTAAATAAAATTTGAATATTAAAAATACTCATGTTGGGTTACGTTGGTCAAATAATAATAAAAATAAATAAATAAATAAAAGATTTGGGTTCGATTATTACTTATGACACTATTCACTCGGACTCATGTGCATAATTTATTTTTACTATGCGAGTGGTATTTTTGCTAATTTTGATTTTTTTTTTTAACATTCAAATGCAAATTTTACATTATGTTTCATTTTGGTCCCTAGATGACCAAGACCGACGTCGCTTTTTTTTTTTTTTTCAATTGATTTTTTCTTATTATTATTGAATTGGGTTCAAAAATTATGAAAAATTAATTGTTATTTTTAGGTTTTTCATATAGGTTAGTGATTATAAAATATATACGATATGTTTCGGATTTTAGAATGAATATATATCCGATCATATTACTCTTATTATTTTAAATTGGTCTATTCAATTTGTCATTTCTTATGAAAATTCTAATCAAATTAATTTTTTATTCTTTTTTATGTAATTTTATTTTTTAATAAATATAATTTATTTTTCTTTCATGCATCGATTTTTGAATAATTGTTTTTTAAATAATCAATTAAAAAATAAAATTTATGTATTTTCTTTGCTTATCCTTTATATAATCCAAATTTATCGAATTACTTTTATAATTATTTTTATTATAGTTTATTAATTTCAATATATTTCTTACAATGTAAGTCTTTTTTTTTAAGTATTTATGTTATACACTCGATACACTAAATATAATAATAGTGTATATAATAAAAATTAGAATCATTGGTTTTATTATAAAAAATAAACTAAAAGATTTGGGTTTGATTACTATTCATAGTACTATTCATTTAGATTCATATACAATATTTATCTAGACTCATATGTACAATTTATTTTCACTATGTAATTGTATTTTTGTTATTTTGAGCTTTTTTTGAACATTCATATAAAAATCGACATTGTATTTCATTTTGATCCTTGATATTTCTAAAAGATATTTTTGGTTCCTAAATGACCAAGCACTCATGCTTGCCTTCTTTTTTTCGCTTTTTTTTTTAGAAATTTTTTTTATTATTATTGAATTGGATTAAAAAATTATGAAAAATCAATTGTGGTTCTTTTTTTTTTTCGATTTTTCATGCAGATTGGTGATTATAAAATTCATCCGATATGTTTTAGACTTTAGAATGAACACAAACACACACACCCACACACACACATATCGAAGTATATTATTCTTATTATTAAAATTGATCCTTTCAATTTATCATTTTTTATGAAAATTCTCATCAAATTAATTTTTTATTCTTTTTTATGTAATTTTATTCGCTAATAAATATAATTTAGTTTTCTCTTTATATGGATTTTTTAATAAGTTTCTTTAAAATAAATAATCAATTAAAAAATAAAATTCACGTATTTTATTTGTTTATTTTTATATAATCAAAATCGGCTTTATAATTATTTTCATTATAGTCTATTAACTTCAATGTATTCCTTACAATTTAATTTTTTTAAGTATTTTTTATTTACTCTATGCACTCTAATCCGCTAAATATAGTCATGATGCGTGTGTGTACACACACACACACACGCGCATCATGACTATATTTAGCGGATTAGAGTGCATATAGTAAATAAAAAAAATACTTAAAAAAACTTACACACACACACACTTGGTTTTATTGTTAAAAATAAAATAAAATTGGATTTGATTACCATTCACAACACTATTCACTCAAAATCGTGTGCACAATTCATTTTCACCGTATAGTGGCATTTTGTTATTTTTGAACTTTTTTTAGACATTCATATGTAAATTTGACATTGTGTTTCATTTTGATCCTTCATATTTCTCAAATATTTTTTTGGTCCCTAAATGACCAGACCAAACACTCATGCATTCCTTTTTTTAAGCCATTTTTTTTAGCAATTTTTTTTTGTTCTTAATGTTTTTTTTCGGTTTTCATATAGACTCGTGATTATAAAATATATACGATATGTTTTATATTTTAGAATCAATATATATATCGGATTATATTACTCTTATTATTTAAAATAAATCTATTCAATTTGTCAATTCTTATGAAAATTCTCATCAAATTAAAATTTTTATTCTTTTTTATATAATTTTATTTTTTAATTAATATAATTCTCTTTATGTATAGATTTTTGAATAATTTTTTTAAATAACTAATCAATTAAAATAAAATTCACGTATTTCATTTGCATATTCTTTATATAATCAAAATTTATTGGAATAAATTTATAATTATTTTTATTGCAGTCTATTATCTTTAATATATTCCTTACAATTAAGTTTTTTTAAAAAAACAAGCAGCTTTTTATTTATACTACACACTCGATCCACTAAGTATAGTCATGATGTTTATATATATATATAAAAAAAGATTATCGATTTTATTAAAAATTAACTATACATCTACACACATAACACCAACCATTTGCTACTATTTTTTTTAATATTCTAAAATTAATTAATTTCAAATAAAATATTTAAAATAATATTTTAGAATAACCATCAAAAAATTCAACTACCATTTTTATATTAGTATTATTGGTTATTTTCTAAATAAATGTATATCAATCAAATGTACATATTTTAAAAAAATTAATATTCTCATCAACATAATTTTTATACAAGTTTTTATATTAACTATTTTTTTACTTCTTTGATGCATTCTCATGGAAAAAATATTAAGATGTTTTTAAATTTTATATTAAATTTTTATATTTAAATTATTATAGGTTTTTATTTAAAAATAAATGAATAATTAAGAACAAATTGTATTTCTTTTTACTTGCAAAATCTATGAAAAACATAAAAAAATACAAATTTTAAATACAAATTTTTGATTAAAAGTTTGAAATTAAAGTTAGAATATTAAAAACATTAATAGTAAATAGTTTATGTTATATGTGTAGATGCATAATTAATATTCAATAAAACCAATGATCTTAATTTTTATTTTTATTTTTTTGTTTATTTATATCATGACCGTTCTCGGTGGGTCGAATATACAAGCATAAATAAAAAAAATATTATTTAAAAAATAAATTATAAATAATATATTGAAGTTAGTAGATTGTAATAAAAATAATTAAAAATTGATTTTCATATTTTTTTTATTATATAATTAATAAGCAAATAAAACACGTGAATTATATTTTTTATTGATTATTTATTTAAAGAAACTTATTTAAAAAAATCCATACATAGAGAAAATAAATCATATTTATTAGCAAATAAAATTATATAAAAAAGAATAAAAAATTATTTGATGAGAATTTTTATAAAAAATGACAAATTGAAGAAAACAATTTTAAAGTGTTGTGCTTTTTTAACTACAAAATTTATTACAAACATAAAGAAGAATAAATTAAGACAAAATCTTGATTACAAATTATGAAATTAGATGAATTTTTTTCTTTTATCTTTAATCTTATATATTTAAATTAACCTACAATATGATACGGGTTAGCAAACTAAAATAAGTATATTTTGTTTGACTCGCAACGTAACACGAAAAACCGACTAGTTCAATCTAAACCTTGAAATCCAAAATAATGGACTTCTAATTTTAGCACATGTTAAAAATTGAAAAAACATAATCCTTAAATCACTGAATATTTAAACTTAATGATAACGTTTGGAACACGATAAATCATTATTCTTCTTTGATCCAAAGCAAAATTTAACATCCCTAACATTCTTAAATAGACGGAATTAAATAAAGGATAGTGTTATTCAGATTCCATAAATTCTTTATTCCTCGCCACATTTGTTATGAAGTACATGAACACACGGGATTTTAGAGTTATTTTCAAAATAGGATACTTGCAAATCTTATTTTTGTTAACCATGATTTTTGTTTTTTTATCAAAATTAGGTTGGATTTGCCACACTAATCCTTGCCATTATACCTTTTTATTAATAATTTTTAGATTTTTTTTTCCTAACATCTTGAAGAAACAGAGAAAACATAAATAAATAGTTACTCTCTTTATTACAATAAAAAAATACTTTTTTTTATTAGAGGAAAAATTGATCTACCTCTTTTTTTTGTCCTTTTAATTAACACTAAAATCTGATTTAAAAAAAAACGCTTTTGAGATAATCTTAGAAAATGTCAAAAAAAAAAAACTACTTGACCTTATATTGAACTTTTTGCCAAACAATCAGAATTTTTTCAACGGTACAATTTGGATCTTGTAACCCCCCATCTTTTGAGGTAGTTTAATATATTGCTCTACCTCTTGGTGGCAAAGATATCATTGTAACTGTACACTATTTTCCTTCCCCTTTCGCGAGAAAAGAAAACACTAGAAGGTGAAGAAAAATCTACAAGGACGGATGTGATCTGAAGTAAGCCAAGAGGCCAACGAGAGGTGCATTAATGTACGTGGTTGGCTCTGAGTGTACAAAATCTGCTCTAGAATCAGCGTAGGAATCCCCATTATCGGGTCCTCCAACTACAGCTCCTATTAGCAGGTTAGGATTAGGATCATTGCTTTGAAAGTATGGAGTTCCTCCTTGACAATTGATGATGGCAGGGTGTTGATCAACAGAAGGCAGAGACGAGCCACGGTGGTGTATCTTCCGAGGGAATTTTTCCCCATATCCAACCATGTATGACATGTTCATTGGATTAGTTCCCAGTATATAATCCACCTGCATTGATTACCACTTTGTAAGGTAATAATGTTCAAGGCCAGTTACAAGATCGATGACTTAACCAAGAATGGAGAAATGATATAGGCCTACCTGCCCTCTTGCGAATTGAATAAGCCTAGCAGGAGTGGCAACAACATTACCGCAGTGAATTTCTCTATTGGATTGATTCAAGTAGCGAGCGTAAGCAAGAAGAAGAAAGGATAAAGCTGTGGCATGTTGCAAGTTACTTCCTCCTGGTTTGAACATAAGTCCACCTGACAAGAATTTTGAGAACAAACTGAATTGATTTCAGCTCCATCACACAATTGTAATGTCTCTGAAGAATGATCTGCCAAAGAAATTCATGAAAAAAAAGTACCTGGAGAGTATGAGACTGAGACGGTAGGTGATTCAGGCAACACAGTGCAAACAAACTTGTCTGCATTGGGAATGAATGGACCTAAATCAGGAGTGTTGTTCGACAGCAGCACCTGCGAAGAAAGCAACAAGAAGAATTTAGAGCAGACTACAGAAATGAACAGAAAAGCTATAATCAAGATTCAATAATCACCTCTGAAACAAGTATGTTAATCCCCGCATGCTTAGTATCCCATCCGAATTCAGCGAAGCTACCACCGTGATAGGAGACAGCATCGGTATGTTTCGCAACATTTTTCTCCAAATCGCTTATGTTTTGTGCAACATAATCCCAGTAATAAGGCTCTTTGGTCGCCATGTATAGCCATGCTGCCCCCCATATCAATTCATCCTGTAAAGGGATTAATAGTGATGCTTAATTTGAGCAGTTTCCTGTCAACATATGATTTTGTAATGGTGGCAGAAATTTATAGTGATTCAAATTGACCAGTTCTGAATCTTCTGATGAATACCTCGTAGCCACTGAAATCACAGTAGAAAGGGCACACCCAGGGTCCAAGACTATCGTTGTACGAACCACGGTTAGTGTCTGCAAATTCAAATACCTAATCGATAAACCAAAATGTTACTCATTAGTGATTAATTATGTTCAGCCAATAGCTTAAGACGCATGTGAAATGCTATTGACCTCATTTACCATTCTAGCTCTCTCGAGAAGCCTGGCAGAATACGCAGGATCGCTAGGCCTAAACACCATGGAAGACGCTGCAAGTGCAGCTGCTATCTCAGCTGACACCTCTGAGCCTGGAAACTGTCTACTAACTGCATAAGGTGTTCTAGGTGTGTCCATGTCTTCAGGCCTCTCCCAGCAATTATGATCAGCGTAAGGATCACCAACCTGAACAAATACAAAACCAGGGATGCTTGTGGCTTTAAGGAAGTAATCAGTGGCCCACTGAACAGCTTCTAATGCATGTGGCAGGTCTGGACCCATGAACATGCCAAATTCTAACACACTCCATGCCAGCATTGTTGTCGAAAAAGCCATTGGAAAGTTGAATTTAACGTTGTCACCGGCATCATAGTATCCACCAACCAAATCAACCTGAGAATGTTCAGAACAAACTTTACATTTACATGATAGCAGAATAAAATTAATCTAGCTACACCGATTTCCATTTTGTTCCTTTTGTTTTTGGATAATCGATAGAAATCGCGTCGTCCAGCCTACGCGTCAACTTGTAGACCAGTCCCTGACCTACTTGACAGACAAATTCAGGCTGCCTAAGTTGCGATTCGAACCTAACACATTTGATTTACTTTTTCAGAACATTTAAAGTCAATTTCAATTTTCCTCTACATTGAGTGTGGCATTTAAGAGTGGTCTAGATTCACTAGTTGTGTCTGACGGAGCAAATGCTCTCGATTGATTCCAGAATTTCATCTCTTTTTGCATGGTTTGATTTCTTTTACAGAAGAGGAATAGCTGTAAGAAAAAGAACAGTCCAAATCCATGTCAGGAACAGCAACGATAAACCTTGCAAGCTGTTACTTGCATGAGCAACATGTTATAAGAAGCCAAAAGACATCGGTTACAATTGAAGGAATGAATTCACATCCGTGATTCTTAGTTCACATGTATGCTCTATTCACAAGGATAATCACATTCACCAATCATTTTCAACCTAGCTCACAAGCAATCAGTTGTCTGTTCACCCTTTTACTTCAAAAAAAAAAATATCGGTGTGATCTGGTGCGGCTAGTCTCAAATCACGGTGGTCCAAAGGAATCCACCGATACCTCACTGTTTCTTGGTGAAATAAAATAATACAGTATTTGCACCAACAAGCTGCCCTGCTACTGCAGGTAGCAATTCTTGAAAACAGAGGTTGGCTTTCTCTGAACAAGTCATGTTTTGTGCTATTTTAGTCCAAAACAATGTAATGGCAATAGCAATGGTTGCATAAATTAATACAAATGAAATGCTATATCAATGAAGAAGAATTTATATATACGAAAAGAGACTTACACCAATCTGAAAGCCATCACGAAGACCAGAATCCTTCCTCCAAGTCATTCTCTGTGTAGGAGGTAACTTCCCTGACCTCTGCCCTTCGAAGAACAAAATGCTTTTAGTCAATGCATCCCCATAATCATGTGAAGCCACATTCATCACCATAACCATCATTATCACCCCTCCAAAAACCAGCACTCTCTTCAACACCCCCATTTCCTCTTTCTCTCAAAGTCAAAAGCAAACACTTCTATCCAACTTCCTCCCCCTATATTTCTTTAACCATTCAAGCAAGATTTATAACAGGATTAGTATCAAAAACAACGAAGAAACATACGTGAAGTTTGATAAGGGAGAAAACTAGCTAGCCAGGGAGGGAGAGTTTTGGGTGCAAAAGAATTAATGGATGGGGCTAAACATTTCCGGCGCCTCCGTGGACGGTGGTGAATGTTGCTAGATACGGTGTATTTGTTACAGATAATTGCCTTCTTGGAGAGGACTCATTGTCGTAATATATACGTGAAGTTTGATGTGTGCTATCTTCTTCCTCTACTACTATACTTCTTTGACAAAGTAATGGTAGTCGAGAATGAATGCGCACTTCCTGTGAACGTGGGCCGCTGGTTAAATTGATTTTTAAGTAGCCGTTATCTAATTAAATTCGGTATGACCCTTGAGATATCTAGCAAATTAGGTTTTTTTCTCTAACCTACAAGGACTAACATAAGTGAAAAAAACGTGATCTACCATACTAAAGTATGAAATTCAAATCTTATTTTTGGATAGCTTATGCAAATTATTTTTGTGAATTCGTCTTTTTTTTTAAAAAAAAAAAAGGATAACTCTGAACTATTAAAAGAAAAATAAATAAATCAAGAATGTAATTTAATATGGGCTGCCGAAGGATCATACCTTAATGTGGAAGTGCGTGTCACGGGGGAGCAACTGTTGAGTCACAATTTCTTAACTTGTAGAAATCAATCATCTCTGCCATCAATTTTATTTCTCACTCAAAAGATTGGTGTATTAAATCATGTGTTTAGTGGGTTGGAGATTTGGTTTTACACAAAAAAAGAAAAAAAAGAAAAAAAGAAAAGAAAAGAAGAAGAAGAAGAAAGAAAGAAAGAAAGAAAAACCATAATCATTATATATGGCTACTATATGTACACAATGTTGTTGGAATCAGTTTCGATAATACAAACGTTAAATTATTTACGATCATAATTAGGATATTGAATCTCAAATTATCATATTTAAAATAATAAATTATATGTATATTTTTATGATTTAAATATTAGCCTTTTTAGTACTTTTTATATAATTAACATATGTGCATTAATTTTTTTTTCTTTGGTTCATGTTGCTCAAGAGTTGCCACTAAGTTTATATATATATATTGAAATACATAAATTAAAAAAATACTTGACTAGTGGTTTGGAGCTACTGTTGAGTCACAAATTCTCAACTTTTAGAAATCAATCATCCCTGCCTTCTATTCTATTTGTCACTCAAGAGATCGGTGTATTAAACCATGTGTTTAGTGGCTTGGAGATTTGGTTTTACAAAAAAAATAAATAAATAAATAATAATAATAATAATGATGATGAAAAAAGAAAAAAACCATAATCATTTATATAACTACTACATGTACAAAATGTTGTTGGAATCAGTTTCGATAATACAAACATTAAATTATTTACGACCATAATTAGGATGTTGAACCTTAAATTGATCATATTTAAAATAGTAAATTATATATATGAGCTTTTCTAGTACTTCTATATTTGTGCGTTAATGTTTTTTTCTTTGTTTCATGTTGCTCAAGAGTTGCCACTATATATATTAAAAAAAAAAAAAAAAATACTTGACTAGTGGTTTGGAGCTACTTTTGAGTCACAAATTCTTAACTTTAGAAATCAATCATCCCTGCCATTTATTCTATTTGTCACTCAAAAGATTAGTGTATTAAACCATGTGTTTAGTGGTTTGGAGATTTGGTTTTACTAAAAAAAGAAAAAAGAAAAAAAAAACCATAATGATTATATATGACTACTATATGTAGACAATGTTGTTGGAATCAGTTTCGATAATACAAATGTTAAATTATCCTTTACGATCATAATTAGGATGTTGAACCTTAAATTGGTCATATTTAAAATACTAAATTATATATATATATATATGTTCTTATGCTTTAAATATTAGCTTTTCTAGTACTTTTATATAATTAAAATATGTGCATTAATTTTTTTTTCTTTGGTTCATGTTGCTCAAGAGTTGCCACTAAATTTATATATATATTGAAATACATAAATTAAAAAATACTTGAATAGTGATTTGGAGCTACTATTGAGTCACAAATTCTTAACTTTTAGAAATCAATCATCCCTGCCATCAATTCTATTTGTCACTCAAAAGATTGATGTATTAAACCATGTGTTTGGTGGTTTGGAGGTTTGGTTTTACTAAAAAAAGAAAAATGAAAAAAACCATAATCATTATATATGACTATTATATGTAGTCATGTACACGATGTTGTTGGAATCGGTTTCGATAATACAACGTTAATTTGTACTTTACTATCATAATTAAGATGTTGAACCTTAAATTGATCATATTTAAAATACTAATATATATATATATATATATATATTAGCTTTTCTAGTACTTTTATATAATTAACATATCTGCATTAATTTTTTTTTCTTTGGTTCATGTTGCTCAAGAGTTGCCACTAAATTTTTATATCTATTGAAATACATAAATTTTTTTAAAAAAATACTTGACTAGCGGTTTGAAGCTACTATTGAGTCACATTTTCTTAACTTTTAAAAATCAATCATCCCTGCCATCAATTCCATTTGTCATTCAAAAGATTGATGTATTAACCATGTGTTTAGTGGTTTGGAGATTTGGTTTTACAAAAAAAAGAAAGAAAAAAAAACCATAATCATTTATATAAATACTACATGTACACAATGTTGTTGGAATCGGTTTCGATAATACAAACGTTAAATTATTTACGATCATAATTAAGATGTTGAATCTTGAATTGATCATATTTAAAATACTAAATGATATATATATATATATATATATATATATATATATATATATATATATATATATATATATATATATATTAGCTTTTCTAGTACTTTTATATAATTAACATATGTGCATTAATTTTTTTTTTCTTTGGTTCATGTTGCTCAAGAGTTGCCACTATATATATATATTGAAATACATAAATTACTAGTGGTTTGGAGCTACTCGTTGAGTCACAAATTCTTAACTTTTAAAAATCAATCATCTCTCGTTGTCAATTCTATTTGTCACTCAAAAGATTGGTATATTAGACCATGTGTTTAGTGGTTTGGAGATTTGGTTTTACAAAAAAAATAAATAAATAAAATAAAAATAAAAATAAAAAAGAAAAAAGAAAAAATCCCTAATAATTATAAATGACTAGTAGATGCACACATCATTGTTGGAATCGATTTCGATAATACAAACATTAAATTATTTATGATCATAATTAGAATGTTGAACGTTGAATTGATTATATTTAAAATATTAAAATTATACATATATTTTTATGATTTAAATATTACCTTTTCCGTACTTCTATATAATTAACATATGTGCACTAATTTTTTTTTCTTTTGTTGATGTTGCTCAAAAGTTGTCACTATATATATATAACCTAAAAAAATTATTTAGAGCGTTTTATTTTTTTTTCATAATCTAAGAAATGAAAATTTATAACTAAGACATAATGCATATAAAAAATCGACAAAATTCCTAATATATATCAAAATAATTATCATTATCTTATTACTATTATCATCGTACTATCAAAACTTGCAATCAATATAATAATTACCTCACAAATAATGTCACAACTACCTAATTATTGTCCCTTCCACTTCTATAATCACCACCGCCATCTATTTATCACCGTAATTATCTTGAGAACAACATTGATTAAAATTGAATTTGTTAATTATCGTCATGATATTTAACCTATCTCACCTTTAACCATTTATTATTATATTTTTACTAATAAATTATTTAACTGAAATACTATAAGGGTGTAAAAAAAAAAAAACAAATTCAATTAATGTATTATAAATTTTTCAACAACTTAAGGGACCTTTAGATTGGTTGGCATTTGGCATTTGGTTCATGTTGTTTTCTTTGAAACTCAACCTAACAATGATTTTTTTATTCTTTTAATTGAAATTGTTCAATTATCATTATAAATGAAAAAAAAATATCAATACAAAAGATATAAACATATATCTATCAAAGCAAGCGATTAATAAAAAGAATAAAAAAAATGGTAACAATGAATTCTTTTCACATTACAAGATAAAAACTGAAAAATACTTAATTTTTTAATAAAAAAGGAGAAGATAATCCCACCGATAGAAAATAATATAAATCATATTGTAAGACCTCACCTAATAGGTTAAATTTTTAGATTGATATTATCTTTTGACATTGTATCGAGCTTGGTTGATCATGTGGTTTTGAGTTCAAGTATCACCATCCTCACTTTCTCAAGTATTAAACACAAGATAATATATACTTAAACAAGTTTTAATCTCAAAAGACTTTCATTTAAGAGAGTGTATACTAGAAAATAATTATATCTCGGAACGTCATATAATAGCTTAAACTCGTTGAGTTGAGATATTAATTTAACACTCAACTATGTAGAAACCAAAACTGACGTCACCGTGGATAAAACTATATTTACAATAGTAACATGTAAATGATATACTCCTTGAATGCCTTATTCTTATTGTTCGGTCATATGATAGTGTTTTAGTATTACAATTCTTTTCTGATTGAAAATAACAAAGACATGTTCGTCTATAAATAATATAATAATTTGTGTTTGAAAATAATACTTTTACATATTCTTTGTGTTTAAGAATAATACTTGAACATTTAATTGGATTTTAATACTATTTAGTTAAATCTTCATATATATTATCAACTAAAAAAATAAAAAATAAAAAAAATCCTAGATGGCAACATCTTAATCAAAATCCTTACAGATTATATATATATAATTGCAATTTTTAATTTTATTTGTGCAAGAAAATCTAAAATCAAGAGATATAAGTGTTGTTTGGTATCAATGTGGTTTTCTTTTTTCTTTTTTTCTTTTTCTTCCGAAAAAAAGAAATTACATTTGGTTGCACTATTGTGTTTATTTTTTTCGACAAATAATTAATTTAAAAAATTAAAACAACTTTTTGAAAACAATAAAAAATGAGTTTTTATTTATTTATTTATTTATAAAATATTATATTATCAATATTACTACTATCATACCACCACAGTGCCCCTACAAGCATCACCACACCACCAATATCACTCCACTATGATCATCCCAACCACCATCATGCTCATAGCACCATCATCATCACTATAATTACCATAACAACCACTTTCATTTTATTTCTTCAATACTAACACCGTCTCCTTTACATCATCAAAATTATCATTAACTCTACTAAAATTACCATCTTCATTTTCATAACCTTCATAAGCATATTATAATTATTTTTATTGTTATAATATTATTACAACCACTCTTATCACATAATTATTATACACTACCAACACTACTATTTATCAATAAAATTATTACAATCATAAAATAATAATAATAATATTATAATTTTCATCATCACTTTTAGCATCACATCCATTTTATATGTCATTATAACTACCATTGCTACCATACATGTTATTGTCACGATACCATCATTTAACTATAATGATTAAATTACATAATATTATTACTTTTTATAATGTTCATAACTAACAACATATTATTATAGTATTTCTTAAATTAAGAATTTATAAGAACCTTTTCTTTTTACATCTTTATTAAAAACAACAAACATAAAACAGTTCTTGACGATACCAAACGATCTCATAGCTAGCTGATTCCACGTTTCTTGAATAAATGACATCTCCATACGCCTCATCAGAAAGCATTTAAAGAAGGAAGGCAAAAATGCCTTTTTGAGCTTTTCAAGTAACAAGATGCATGGTTCAATTTTACACTTCATGTTTGTCATACATAGTTTTAGGCTTTAACATGCAACTTGGGCTCCCACCGACCTTTTATATAGGCTGAGGTTTCCCATCCCTAACGACTTCAATAAAAGCAAAAGCGCTCTTTTAGCTTTCCAAGAAACCTAATGCCTCATCTGTCAATGCAACTTAAGGCACCCACCCCCTATGCTTTCTCCCTTAGCCATTTTTTTTAAAGTCTAACCTAGATAGGTCAATCTCTAGTTCTCTGTCTTTGTTTGTTGGGCTCGGGCATTGAGTAAGAACTTGGTCTATTTTAGTTTGGATCCAATTGTTTACACTCGACCCATTAAGGTTTGGGCTGAAACGGCCTTAATTTGCTTCAAAATTAGCAGTATGGACTAAAGATTATTGGGGCCGATTGAAGAGGTCAACTGAAATTAAAGGCCTAACTGCCTGCTGTCCCTGGGCTGGCACCTTGGCCCTTTTACGAACATTCATTTCTTCCTATCCTAATTTTAGGAAACTTCCTCCTTCCTATTTACGTGTCGGTTGTCGTGACATTATCCCATCGTTAAAGTCAGATCATTAGGCTTGCGGTTCAATTTTTAACAATTTTGCTTTGATTTTAGGTTAACTAAAAAAAAATCAAATCGAATTACAATTCGTTTTAAAAATTGAAATTTCAGTTGTCGACTTAAACCAAAATTTTTAATTTTTTAAAAATAATATAAATAGATCAAAAATATTATCGAGTATATCATATATCTATAATAATGTTAACATATTGATTTTTTTTTTAACTTTATTTGCATTATTTTAAAACTTAAAAAAGTTCGGTCCAAAAATTTTAAATTCAAACCGAACTGAAAAAAAAAAAGATTTATTTTTTTTAAGTTAATATTTTAATTTGATTTGGTTCGATTTTTCTACTCAATCCTTCACCCCTATTGTCATGTTCTTCTAAATGAATCTTTTTTTCCTACCTTTTTTTTTTATTGGTAAATCTTTTTTTCTTTGTTATTTCCTTTTAGTCTAAACTTTTTTTTTATTTTTTACGTACGTATATTAACTTAATGACACGACAACTATGAGTCTTAGAAAATTTCTGTCAATCCAGATAGGAGGAAATTGTTGTCTTCTTTTCTTATTATTTTTTAAATATTTATAAAAAGTGAAATGCCTATAAATTTCTTTAAAACACCATGACTAATCCATCAGTACCGTTTTAAACTGAGCATGCTCAACTCTTTCTTTGATATTTATCTAACCTTTTGATCGAAAAGCCTATTGACATTTTAGATGTTAAATCTTTTGGCTTTCCGGTCAGGGACAAGTGAAAATTAACTTGCTATTCTAAACTTTCTAACATAAGTATGATCAGAAGAGGAAACGTGACTTGAAAAAATGACTACATAATCTGAGCAATTCAAAGAAAAAGAAAAAAATCTTTGTTTTTTAAGGCTTGCTAGCTATTTTTCATTTTTTTTTCTTAAAGCTGCTAGCTATGGAAACTTCAATTTCACGATTGAAGCATAAAGAGAATAGCTATCTTGCTATACAATCTAGAAAAGCACATGGTTCATTCAGACTTCTATGGCTCTTTGGTCGTCAGGATTGTTTGAGTAACAGTTGAAAAAAATTAATTCTTTCTTTAACGGAACTCTTACTTCAACTGTACTGGATAATTTTAATAAAGAAATACAAAGAAAAAAGAATAATGTTCATTTCTTCAGAATAATCATGTGTACGGAGCAGGTTTCTTGTTTTTCGGCTACTCTCCCCAAAAATTCGCTTGACATCAGTGATCTATAGCTTTAATTAAAGTACAATTTGCTAGAACAACTGTTAAAGTATTTTTTTTCTAACCTGTCACATATTGAATAAATACTCAACACAAGAGTAATATAAAGTTATTGCTTGATAGGTTATTTGACAGACTTCAAAAAATGAATTATAAGTGAGAAAGAGTGACAATAACTATATTTGAAATATAAATCAATATGTGATTTAATGTGAAACTTGTTTTTTAACATTTTTTTTAACTACGTTTTTTTTTTTTTTAAAGTCTCGTCAAGTAGATTAATATTTAAGATTTTTTAAAATCTGTCAAGTGGTTCGAGTTTCATGATTTTTTAGAACCGATAATCAAATGACTTAAGTTTCAAAAATTTTGTTAGGTCGTTAAGCCTAATTTTTTGAAGTTCCCGGAGTGGTTTGAATTTTATAATTTTTGTTAGACTTTTGAGTTTTTTTGAGATTCTAATATTACAAAAATTTAAATAGTTGAGATTGGATTTTATATAAAAAAAACTTAATTTTTATATTAAATGATCATTTTTCAATTTTATATTCTAATTATTAATTTATAGATTATTTATTTGATGTGAGATATGTTTTCTAATAAGTACTGATGGATGAAATCTTATAACATTGGAAAAAATGCATCTAGAAGTTTGCTTCAAAACATTATTGATAATGAGAATTTGTTACATTGATTACACGGTTAAGCAAGTTGAAGTCTAGTTTTGAATTAACACATATATAATTGGTCTTCTCTTCGTAATAATCACCGACCTGAAACTTTGTGTTTAATAGCCGGTTTACTACTCCACGCATTACATCATTAAACCAGAAGGTTGGCAATCCTATGCACTTTTGTCAAGACTGTTCTGATAACAAATAGGAAATAATACTCCCCCGTCACATTTTGTTTGTCCACCATAAAATTTTTAAGTATTAGTCAAATATAATCATCATTTGTTTTTTTATTGGTTATGCACATTTACAAAGCTATCTTTATTTTGAAAAATATAGAAGTTCTTGTATTTTGAAATAAAGTTGTAATTGATTGAAAAATCATATATTTCATGTACTTTATTTAGCAAATATACAAATGCTTTGGGATATGTAACTGAAAATCTTGACAAATAAAGTCGTATGGAGTATGAGAATTACTTGGATTGTGAACTTCTGTTCTAAAATGATTTGAAGTGAGTGAGTTTTCGATCTCTCTAAAATTATTCGCACAATTTAAAAAAAAATTATAATTAATATCAGTTTGGATATATATATATATAACCTGCTCAATAACAGACTAAAATAAAAATTAATTTCAATATTGGAAAGCTAAACCAAAAGTATAAAATAAAAAGAAATTATGAAGTCCTCTTGTTGACTTCGCACATTATTTTCTTTTGTCCCGTACATTAAGTAAAGACAACATGGAGTGGAGTGTCATGTCGTATCTTGCATTTGCATTTATATGGAAATTACTCTCCACTTTCACACAATTCGGTCCATCAAACCCTTTTCTTCATTCAATTATATATATGAGAAACCTTTTGCGCACATATTATTGTGACCCTTAACAACCTTAAGGTCCAAATCAGAAAATTAAACGAAGCACAATCATGGCAACCATGTTTAGGCTATTGGCAACATTGATATTCTTCTCTTCAATTTTCGCATTTGCAGCATCAAAGAGCACCAAAGCCAACATAACTTGGTGGTGCAACCAGACACCACACCCTTCAACATGCAACTATTTCATCCGCCATAGCCACCACCATTTTGCACTCAAACATAGGTCCGAGTTTCGGTTAATGTCGGCTCAATTAGCCCTTGAGAGAGCCCTTATTGCACAGAGACAAGTCTCGCGATTCGGACAGAATTGCGAGAACCAGCACCAAAGAGTTGTATGGGCTGATTGTATGAAACTTCATTCTAATACCATTCTTCAACTTAACCGTACCCTAATAGGGATAGGGAAGAAGAGGCCGTCATGTTCAGATTTTGACGCACAAACATGGCTAAGCACAGCCTTAACCAACATCCAAACATGCCGAACCGGGTCTTCAGACCTTAATGTGTCGGATTTTATTATGCCAAGCATGTCGAAAAACTTATCTGAGCTCATTAGCAATACTCTGGCCATCAATGGGGTTTTGCTTGCAACTGAAGATAATAATACACAAGGGTTTCCTGCCTGGTTTTCGACGCACAACAGACGGCTATTGCAATCTACATCAATAAAAGCGAAAGCAAATCTCGTCGTGGCAAAAGATGGTTCGGGGAATTTTAGAACTATTCAGGCAGCTATTGATGCAGCCTCAAGGAGGAGGTTCAAAACTAGGCTTATTATACATGTGAAAAGGGGAGTTTATAGGGAAAATATTGAAGTTGGAGTTAACAATAACCAGATTTGGCTGGTTGGTGATGGCATGAGAAATACTATAATCACAAGTAGCCGGAGTGTTGGCGCTGGTTATACAACTTATAGTTCTGCAACTGCTGGTAAGCAATTAAATCTTTTCATGCTTTTTATATGCGTCATTATATATGTCAATATCGAGTTAATTTTAGTATTAACATACGATAAAATATATTTTGGAGGATAAATAATTTTGATTAAGATGTATAGAAAGGAAGAAGATGAAGTTTTTTTTGGTGGAAAGGAGAAGATCATCAATAACGTTAATTATTAAAAAATAGGTAATTGCTGAAATATTGTCCATGTACATATGTTTTAATGTTCTGCTCACTTCCCTTAAAAGCTACGATTTCATTATAAAAAAGGGGCCATGCTAATTATACGTAAAGAGTATTTTAGCAGGAGATGTCTTGATTCTCAATTAATCCATGATTTTTCTTTTTTGGCTTTTATTTCTAACAAAAGACATTGCAAATTCTATAGTTTTGGCAATTGAATTTTTTGTTTGAAATGATGTTACACATGATCTTAATTAACATAAAATTACCAAAATTTTCCAGTACTTTAATTTGTATGCTAACTTTTGGTTGTGCTCCCTTTACTTGTACAATAAGTTGAAGAAATAAGCCAAATTTACCTAGAAATCGATTTGTAGGCATAGATGGCCTTCGCTTTGTGGCTCGTGGCATTACCTTTAGCAACACGGCAGGTCCACTAAAGGGTCAAGCAGTTGCACTCCGATCAGCCT